GTGGGCAACACAGCAAACAAATACCAACAAACCATGTAACAAAGAGGGTAAAGAAGGGCTCAACAAACTCAGAGAGCAGCTTGTACCACCTTACACCCAAAAATAGAATCAGAGAAGGCCATCCACCTAATAAAACTTAGCAATTGTATGAACAAAGAGCACACAGAAGCCTTGCAAATCTAAAACGGTGCTCAATGGGCTTCTCAGCACTAGGTATCTAACAGGGAAAAGAAAAACCCTATCTTTTAGACCACAGGCTTGAATGGTGACTTGTCTAATCCACCTAGCAATAATGGAACGAGAAGCATGAAGCCCCCTGCAGAAACCCTCTGAATTTCACTGACTTAAAAAGGCTGTAGCAGAAAGGAAGATTTTCACAACATGTACCATTTTAAGGCAATAGAGAGAAATTTCCTTGGGATGTTCCGGAGCAGGACACAAGGAAGGAAGGACAATGTACTGGTGGAGGTGGGCTAAAGTTTTGAAATGATGGAAGCATTACACTAGCTTGTACAGTCCTTCCAAAGATTTGACTTTGCAACAGCAAACGCATTTCAGGGCCTCAGCACTCCCCCCTTAACAGGGCTAAACAATGGATCATGCATGCACATGGATTGAAGAAAGTCTGGTTGAGGTTGAAGGAGGAAACCACTTTTGGGAGAAAAGAGCCTTTTTTTTTTTTACAAAAAAGGGCTGCTAACTGCAAGACCTTTTGCACAAAGGTGACAGCAATGAGAAGGATCACCTTGCAAGTAATGTCAGATAAGACAGTATCCCTAAAAGGTTTAAAGGATGGCCTCAGAAGGGTTGAAATAACCATTTTAAGGTCCCACACGAAGTCACAGGGAAGCATACAGGGGGATAGATGTGTGTGACACATGCATTAAACTAAGGCCAACAGTCTCATGAAGGATGGCCAAGGTTAGGATTTTCCCCTTGATGGTATATAAGGCCAGACTGAAGGAAGGACAGGATGCGTCTCAAGGACTACTTATTAAGATGAATATCCTGCTCTTGCATTACACCAAACAGACCTTCCGGATGTGATAGCAGACTTTAAAAAGAGTCAGCTATCTAGCCTGCAAGAGGGTAGGGATGATCAAATCAAATGGGTCCCTTAGGACTTAGGCTTCAACAGTCAAGTCACTAAAGCCAGTGACTGAGGAGCAGTATTGTGGATTGGCCCTTGGGCCAAAAGGTCCAGATATCTACATGCTTATAACTTACATCTCTCTCTGATATGTTGGCAGTATGTTTCAGAGAAGGGAACGGAATTCCATATATTTTGGTCATGCTCTTGGATACAGCCTTACTGGACCTCGGTCCAACAGCTCTCGACCCAAATACTAGATGTCTCCCTGCTTGCAGACCCTATACACTACTTACTAGGTCTGCCATTCAAAGATATTCCTAAGTGCTCAAAAAAAGTATCTGCCCATATCCTAATGGCTGCTAGATGACTCAATCCCATCCACTGGTGAACCAATAACCAGCCTCCCATCTCTGGATTGGTTTTTGTCTATCATTGTTCATATTAGACGTATGGAATATATGATGGCTTCCATGTATAATTCAGCGGAACTATTCGATAAAACCTGCGCCCTCTGGGGCCAATCCACTTATGGTAAATCTATGACTGCTGTAAACCCCTCTTGATATGAACGTTTAATATATATGTCCACAAGTTATATTGTGCCCATTTCCACTGGTAATGTACTGTGTATATTATCACATTACTACTACAAGATACTACTTTTTTTGTTCTCTTGTTCCTGTAGACCAGTGGTGGGCAACCTTTTTTTTCAACTGAGCCAAATCTCGCCAAAACCATGATTGAAATTTATTTTGAGAGCCACATTTTTAAAACTGAAAATACATCTCCCATATAGTAATTCATCCCCCATAGTAATTCATCCCCCATAGTGTAATTCATCCCCCATAGTAATTCATCCCCCATATAGTAATTCATCCCCCATCGTAATTCATCCCCCATAGTAATTCATCCCCCATATAGTAATTCATCCCCCATATAGTAATTCATCCCCCATAGTAATTCATCCCCCATATAGTAATTCATCCCCCATAGTAATTCATCCCCCATATAGTAATTCATCCCCCATAGCAATTCATGTATCCATTTCATCCCTAATATAGTATTTCATCCCCCGTATAGTATTTCATATTTCATCCCCCATATAGTATTTCATCCCTCATATGTATTTCATCCCCCACAATAGTATTTCATCCCTCATATAGTAATTCATCCCTCACTGTATTTCATGCTCATATAGTATTTCATCCCCCCATATAGTATTTCTCCCTCATATAGTATTTCATCCCCCCATATAGTATTTCATCCCTCATATAGTATTTCATCCCCCCTATAGTATTTCACATATAGTATTTCATCCCCCCATATGTAATTCATCCCTCATATAGTATTTCATCCCTCATATAGTAATTCATCCCTCATATAGTAATTCATCCCTCATATAGTATTTCATCCATATAGTATTTCATCCTCATATAGTTATTTCATCCCCCCATATAGTATTTCATCCCCCCATATAGTATTTCATCCCCCATATAGTATTTCATCCCTCATATAGTATTTCATCCCCCCATATTGTATTTCATCCCCCATATAGTATTTAATCCCCCATATAGTAATTCATCCCCCATATAGTAATTCATCCCTCATATAGTAATTCATCCCTCATATAGTATTTCATCCCTCATATAGTTTAATTCATCCCCCACAGTACTATTCCCCCCCCCCCCCTTCTAGTAAGCCAAGTCCCCCGTGTCAATTCACTTACCTTTTGCGTTCCTCTCACTGTCTTCCCGCACCGTTCGGGTCTTCAGGGCGGACTGTGAGAGGAGCCTAGCTCCCCTCCCCTCACGTTCGGCACGCTGCCCCGCCTACACACATCCTGACAGCCACATCCGCGGGCCGGATTAAAAGGTCCGCGCGGACTTTTGGGGCTGCCAACCGAGAGGAGGCAGGGGAGCGGCCGACCGAGATTAGAGTGGGTAAAGAGCCGCATGTGGCTCGCGAGCCGCGGCTTGCCGACCACTGCTGTAGACAGTCTTGGTTCACTATGATTGCTGAATGTGAGCTAGTCACTATGCCACGTTGTACTACAAATGTTGTGACAACATTTCATTTGACTGTACTCATTCAATCCCACTGCTGACACTTTGTAAACCATGGAGTTGCTTTATTTTGTATACTGTTTATACCTATCCGTCTCGCTGAGGCTTCTGTTCTATGTTTTCTCTGTTCATGTTCACCTTTTCTTTTGAAACCTCAATAAAAACACAATTATGAAAAGGTCTGGATGACCCAGGAGAACCTACAGAAACTCTGCTAGGAGTCTGAGTATGTCCAAGTACCAAGTCCTCCTGGGCCAGCTTGGTGCAACGAGAATCACCAAAATGCCCTCCATCTCGATCCTGGGGAATAAGTGAGGGAGAAGCTGGAGAGGCGAAAAGGCATACATAAGGTGGAACTGATCCCATGGAGTCACCAGAGTGTTCACCGTGAAGGCCTGGTACTGGTAACAAATCTGTCCAGTTCGCTGTTGAATCTGATGTTGGGAGATCCATGGTTGGCATTCCCCAGCTGTTGTAAAAGACTTCGAATACCTCTGGATGGAGAGCCCTTTCCACTGGATCCAGATGCTGATGACTGAGAAAGTCTCAAACAAAAACACCTGCGCTCTATTGGCTCCCTTTATACAAAATAGCTGCTGTAATACACACAGTTATGTGTGGAACCAAATATAACCCACAATATGCAGCGCTTACATAAATATATTAAGTGCAAATTATATAAAGTGCAACAAGGAGCAGAAATTTGAATTGCATGGAGCACTTTATTTACATGGAGAAGTTGTATATTATTGCATTTGTTCGTGAAAGAACTGTTGCACTTTATGCACAATGGAATGATTTGAAGGATATATATGAAGCACTTAATATATTTAAGGAGTCACAAATTTATATATCAGAAATTACACATGTACATTAGTTGTTTACACTTTATATATGTATGTAAGCGCGGTATATTGTAAGTTATATATGATTGAGAAAGTCTGTCTGCCAATTTTCCATGCCTAGTATGTGGATGGCAGACAGGGCCAGGACATGCTGCTTTGCCCAAGAGAGGAGCAAGTTTACTTTCCTTAGAGAGGAGTGACTTCTGGCACCCCCTGATGGTTAATGCAGGCCATAACCATGGCACTGTCTAACTGGATTCTTTCCATGTCACCTTGTAACTGGGGGGGGGTCCAGCACTGAAGGGACAACCAAATTGTTCCAGAATATTGATAGGAAGATGAGTTTCCCTCAATAACCAAGAGATCTCTCCCTGCTTCCAGATCAGACAACTGGGGCAGTCCAAGGAACGAGTATGTTTGTCCCACAGTGCCAGAATGCGGAGTTAAAACGAAACTCAACAACATGTTTTTAGCACCCTCCCACTCCCCATGTATTTGCACTCAGAGCAGTATGCAAAGCATATAAACCCCCTCTTGGCTTTGTTCTCCACACTCAAATGGATCTACAGGGACAGGGCTCCACCGTCAGTAGACCATGGCCCTGGACCTGTATGGCACACTGCAGTTAGCTAAACAGAATGTACCATGTGCCTAGGTAAATGCCCACACAGTATCCAGTGCAAAAATCCACATTTCAGTATCCAGTCACCTAAAGATAGCTGCATACAACCCATGATTAAAGACTAAAGAACCTGTGTCCTGTACTGTACAACCAAGAATCAATTTTTGCAGCTTAATGACACAAATAAAAATTATTAATTTCTTAAATATATTGGCATCAGTTTTGAACAGTCCGAGCACAACAGGGTTGGCTTCAGATCCTAAGAATACTGCTGACTAGTTTACACCTTAATTAGTATATCATGGAACTTATTACAGTTAGCTGTGTAGTAGTAATGTATATAAAGATGTTTTAGAGCTAAATGCTTTACAACACACCATTATCCAAACTATGCTGCTTTTCTTGCTTCTCTTGGTTCACCTGCTGAACAGTACGATTAAGGTCCACCCCCTGCAGTTTAGCAGCATGCTGTGCTATCTTCCGCTCCACATCTCTTAACTCCATCTGAAATAAAAACATTGAAATATATTGCGTGCTCTTTTATCAAGCAGTGTAACATCACAATGCACAATAGAGAAACCCTAAAGCAACATTTACATTTCGCTAAAATATACAATTTCACAAAAATGTATATATATTGCACACACTTTTTTTTTTTTGTTTTTTAAATGACAATTTTTTTTATATTGACAAAGTTATTGCCGAATAAACAGGTCCAAAGGGGTGCACAAATGTGGGAGGGAAAGTGGTTAAACTAGAGTTTAGTGTCACTAACACTCAGACACTAGACCGCTGTTTATTAAAAGTTGCGGTAGCTGCACAAGGGTTTCCTCTGGCTCAAGGATCTAGTCGGATTCTCCCCTCATGATGAAAGGCTCAATTCATAACTTTTATAAGCTTATTTGTGACAATATTTTCTGGTGCGCACACCATCCAGCTGGATACTGAAGCTGTCTATATGACCAGTGTTGTGGTGTGCTTCTTCCCTGGACACATAGCCAACTTTTTATCTGTTATGCAGTCAGGCTGCATAACAAGTAATGAATATGGCATATGTGTGTGTGTGATCACAACTCTAAGGATGCCCTGTGTCGGCAGCACAAATGCCTTTTTTTTCTTGTTATGCAGCCTGCCTGTGCAAAAAGTAAAAAAAAATAATGTTTTAATTAGGGTTTAAATATTCCATACATGTGTTTGTCATAAAATGTAAAAAGAGAGCAGCAAATGACTGCAGTAGATGAGTACAGAACTGTTCAAAGAAAAAGCTGGTTTGGAAAATTTGTATGCTTTGAAACGGTCTACAAGTGATTTATGTAAGTAACGCAAAAATGTACATATGCAGGTAAAGATTGCAAGAAATGGAATGGTAAACCCCTTAGAGTGAGTACATGCTTCAGATTGTACAGATACAACAGTTAAACAAATTTTTAGAAATGCACAGGAAGAAGACTGATTGAGTCAGCATTTTAATCAGCAACAAAAAAGGAATCTAGCACTTCATAAAGGTGAATGCAAAGACAATTAATGATGTGTCACTTTTTTTGGGCTTATTTAGGCAGCTCGGCAACATGGTGATATAATTAGAGATTGTATACTACTTCTATAAAACATTTATATTTCCTGGATCAGCAGTAAAGAGGAATTTTGACTTACCTGTAAATTCCATATTTTACAGTAAGGATGACATTTCTAGAATTCAGTAAAGGACACAAGACTGGTATTTATAAACTCTGGGTTACATACTCGGACCTGGAGGTGCGAGTATGGGCACTGACAAAACTTTGAAGGACATACTCCCTAGGTGTCCTCCTATATAACCTTCTCCCACTCTGTGAGTTTAGTAGCAAGCAATGTAGAGAACACAGGATTAAAAGGAAGGATGGCCAGTGTCTCCAAGATAAAGAATCAACAGGTCAAAATTCCTTCTATCTTAACCATTCTGTAGAGGACACAGGCTTGGTATTCACAGATTTCCTCAAGCAATGAAGAAGGGTGAGCAATAAACAGGCAAATAGAACTGTACTAAGAGGCCCAACAATACAAGGCCAGCAGGCCCAACTTCAGATTGCAGCTTCAAGAACCGTGCAGCCCCAAAAGCTGCATTCACAGAAGACTGAACGTCCTCATGGTATGAAGAGAAGAATGAAAGATTTCCAGGAAGTGGCCTTCTGTGGTTTTAGCAAGGTAGGAATAAGAGATTCAGAGACCCAGATATGCCATTACAGCTAGTACAAATTAAAAACAAATCAGCACTGGGAGAGGACCACACATATAAAAATCTAAATATGGTTAGTGACAAATAGCAGATAAAACAGAGGACGTAAAAATACAAAGACTTGTAGGCAAAGGCATGGTGACCCAAAATTAGGTGTAGCGTGGACCAAATTATGACAAAGCAGAGTTGGATAAGACAATAAAAATGAAAAAAATAGAAAAATGAAAAATATTTCGAAATAAATGGAATGTGATAAAATATATATATTTATGATATACTGGTGCATATGCATATATACACATACATATATATATATATATATATATATATATATATACATACATACACACACACACGCACATATACATATAAATACACAGCACATAATAAATTGGTATAATAAATAGAAAGACGATAATAAATTGGTATATATATATATATATATATATAAAACAAAAATGGTATATATTGTATCTATAAAAGATAGAAGATGAGAAAATGAAGAGGAGGGGGATAAATTTACATGTGTGTGTAGCAGTCAAACATCACTAACCTGATCAATCACTGTTTTTGGTAGAAATGTGTATTTCTACATGGCAAATAATTTACTAGAAGGTGTAGTAGAGTAATAGAAATCCAACAGACCCAACAGTCATGACATGCATGCTGCTGATTCTGTGTAATTGAATCACTAATTGAAAGGGGCATGTTCAAAATAATAGCAGTGTGGAGTTCTATTAGTGAGGTCATTCATTCTTTGAAAAACAGGTGGCAATTATTGCCCTTATTTAAGAAAGGAAGTCAGCAAATGTTGTACATGCTGGTTACAGTGCATTTCTCTCTGAAATTCTGAGGAAAATGGGTCGTTGCCGACATTGTTCAGAAGAACAGCGTATCTTGATTAAAAAGTTGATTGGAGAGGGAAAAACATAGTGCAGAAAATGATAGACTGCTCAGCTAAAATGATCGCAAATGCTTTAAAATGGCAACCAAAACCTGAAAGATGAGGAAGAAAGCGAAAAACTACAATTCGTATGGATAGAAGAATAGCGAAAATGGCAAGGACTCAGCCAACAATCAGCTCCAGAAAGATCAAAGAAGGTCTAAAGTTACCTGTGAGTACTGTTACAATTAGAAGACGCCTATGTGAAGCCAAGCTATCTGCAAGAAACTCCCCGCAAAGTCCCACTGTTGAAAAAAAGACATGCGCTGAAGAGGTTACAATCTGCCAAAGAGCACATTGACTGGCCTAAAGAGAAATGGTGCAACATTTTGTGGACTGATGAAAGTAAGATTGTTCTTTTTGGGTCTAGTGGCTGGAGACAGTTTGTCAGATGACCCCCAAACACTGAATTCAAGCCACAGTACACTGTGAAGACAGTGAAGCATGGTTGTGCAAGCATCAAGATATTATTATTATTATACAGTATTTATAAAGCGCCAACAGTTCGCTCAGCGCTGTACATTACAAAGGGAAACAGAACATGCGACAGTAACGAAAACAATACAATGTGATACACGAGGGGTTCGAGGGCCCTGCTCTTTCAAGCTTGCAATCTAGGAGGGAGGGGATAGTGGTACAGGAGGAGATAGCTGTGGGGAATGGAGTGGTAGGAAGAGTGGAGGAGGTCGGCAATTAGCAGGGGGTGGGGTAGGCTTCCCTGAACAGTTGGGTTTTCAGGGTGCGCCTAAATGAGAGAGTAGGTGACAGTCTGATGGATTGGGGTAGGGAGTTCCAGAGGATAGGTGATGTCCTGGAGAAATCCTGGAGGCGGGCATGGGAAGAGGAGACCAGGGAACTAGAGAGAAGGAGGTCTTGAGAGGAGCGGAGTGTGCGTGTTGGGTGGTACTTGGATATTAGGTCGGTGATGTAGTTTGGGGCAGTATGATGGATAGCTTTGTATGTGTTAGGATTTTGAATTTGATCCGTTGTGCAATCGGAAGCCAGTGGAGGGATTGGCAGATGGGGGTGGCGGAAATGGAGCGGTTGGTGAGGTGAATGAGTCTGGCAGCCTGTGTTCAGGATCGACTGAAGCGGGGATAGCCTGTGGCGAGGCAGGCCAGTGAGGAGGGAGTTGCGGTAATCGAGTCGTGATATGATGAGGGAGTGGATGAGCTGTTTAGTGGTTTCTGGGGTTAGGAACGTGCCGATTTTGGCGATGTTGCGGAGGTGGAGTCTGCATGAGTTTGTTAGTGATTGGACTTGGTGTCATTCTGGGCTCCAACCTATCCTTCCAGCTCCAAGTACTCCTGCGGGGAGGGCCTGATAGTGGCATTGATGGACGTGATGGAGAAGTCAGTGGGGGGTGGTGTGTGAGCTGGGGGGAAGACTAGGAGCTCGGTTTTGGAGAGGTTCAGTTTAAGGAAGTGGAGCGACATCCAGTCCGATATGTTGTTTAGTAAGTTTGTGATTCGGGCGGAGACAGAGGGGGTGAGGCGAGGTGTAGAGAGATAGATTTGTGTGTCATCGGCACAGAGGTGGTAGTTAAAGCTGTGAGAGTGTATGAGTTGGCCAAAGGAGAAGGTGTAGATGGAGAAGAGAAGGGGCCTGAGGATGGAGCCTTGAGGGACCCCAACAGAGAGGGGGAGCGAGGGGGAGGTGGTAGCGTTATAGGTAACGCTGAAGGAGCGTTGTGATAGGTAGGACAAGAGCCCGGAGAGAGCAGAATCTCTGAGGCCGAGGGAGTGTAGTTTTTTGAGGAGGAGGGGGTGGTCGACTGTGTCGAAAGCAGCGGAGAGGTCGAGGAGTAGGAGCACTGAATAGTGGCCATTAGAAGGTCGTTGGAGAGTTTGAGAAAGGAAGTTTTGGTGGAGTATAGGGGACGGAAGCCGGACTGCAGGGGATCAAGGAGGTTGTTGTCGTTGAGGTGAGAGCTTAGGCGATTGTAGACTAAGCGCTCGAGAGGTTGGATGAGAATGGGAGCAGGGAGATGGGTCTGAGGTTGTTCGGGTCATTGGGGTCCAGGGAGGGCTTTTTAAGTATGGGAGTGATGTGCGCGTGCTTCACAGGGGAGGGGAATGCACCGGAAGAGAGGGAAAGATTAAAGATGTGGGTGAGGGAGCGTAGGATGGATGATATGGGGATGTTTGTCATACTACGGTGTTGGGCCTATTTATTGCATACCAGGGATCACGGATCAGTTTGAATACATCAGAATACTTGAAGAGGTCATGCTGCCTTATGCTGAAGAGGAAATGCCCTTGAAATGGGTGTTCCAACAAGACAACAACCCTAAACACACCAGTAAACGGGCAACATCTTGGTTCCAGACCAACAAGATTGACGTTA